TTTATCATATTTGATATTACTTCTCTTTTATTTATTTTTTATGCATATTCAATTAAATTTTGTTTATAATTTATTCATTCTTAGTGATCTTAAGTCATGTACTTTTCTATTGACTTGAATTTTATATTTGCATCAATCTTTCTTTGATTTCAAAATATTATATCTAAATTTTTATAATACAACAAAATAAAAATTTTACATTCCATGAAATAGGGAAGAAAACATATATATATATATATATATTTACTTTTGCTTTCGATTTTACCTTTCATTTGTAGTTTTTTTGAATGTCAAGTTTATTTAAGTTTAATATATGTGGTTTTATTATATATATTCTATTTAATTTGCTTTACATGAATCTACAGTACAATATTTTTTTTTGGGTATAACAACATAATTTTTAAATTAAGATGTTAATTGCTTTTACTTATATCATGAATGGATGCCTTTTGTCAACAATTTTATCATGATCAACTATTTGGTCATGGCTAATTCAATTTGCTACTAAATAAAATAATTAAATAAGAAATATGTAGTGAGTTTAATTTGTATTTTCTAATATATGCATCGTTGTTTGATGATTTAAAAGGTTTTAAAATAATAACTTAGGCAATTTTGCTATTTAATACCCAACATGATACATAACAAACAATTAAATAAATTTTATTTTAATGGAAATTGGTAAAAGATAGAAATAGCTCTTTATTTTCAATTTTATAATATATAACGATAAGTTATACAAATTTTAAGGTAAGTGATATACTTATTTTCACCAAATAATTCAAAAACATCGATTCAAAATAATTTTGTATTCAACATTTTATCATGCACTTTCTTTTTTGATAATATTTTTATTCTAATTTTTATATTTCAATTCAGATAATTGCAAGTACAAAAAATATATTACCAAATATGTGTCAAAATAATTTCTTTTTCTTATCTAGTTAAATTTTATTAAATTTGTTAAATTTTCATGTTATAATTTCTCAAGAAAATGTCAATAAAAATTTGTTTTTGAAAAATATTTTGGACAACTTTTCTAATTTTGAAGAAAACAATGAAACTTTAAAATAAATAATTGATTTTCATTTCCAATGATTTTTTTTCTTATAACCGTATGTATACATAAAGCATTTCAATGATTTTCTTAATTAGGTCAATCAAATACTAATTTGATTACAAGCAAACTAATCAAATAAATATGATATTTATTTTAACACATAAAAATTGTTTCACTTTAATTTCTTTCGAAAATTTTGTGTTTTATTTTTAGAGATAAAAAGTAAGATAATTCAATTGTATATATTAAATTATAAATTTACGATAAGATTAGATAAATAATATTATTAAATTACTAACTTATAGGTACCAATAGACTAAGTTCTTTTAAGTATACCATTATATATATAGGAGGGATTAAATTACATCAAAAAATTTTATTTTTATTATACACTTATATTTATTTTTTAATATTAATAAATTTGATATATTTTTAAAAAATTATTATAAAATATTACTTTAACCCTACAAAATTAAACGTAAAAATGGACTGATTTTCCATCACCAGTGTTCTTTTCTCACTTGTCAAGTAAAAGAAATTTCGGGTTCTCGTGGGATCACAGGAGGATCGGAGGTTTAATTTAATTTATAAAGGATCAAGAATTTTCAATTATTTAGTCAAAAAAGAAAGAATTTTCAATTATTACTTATCTTTTAGCCCTTACATGGGCTGCGGTCCCAAAGCAAGAATGGAGGAGACATGAAATAAAACAAAAAAACAACTAATCAACGCTTAGTTGGGTGGTTCGATTGATTTTGTTCACACATGTCCATTCAAGTCCAGAATTAATGGCATCCAAAAGCTGTCCAACTTTTGTATAAAGGACAAATATTATCAAGGATTCTTTAACTTTTTATAATTATTTGTCTATATTTGATGAATGGTCACTTCATTAGCTGTACTCACTATCATGGATGGTCAATTAACAGGATTTTCTTTAACATTTTTTAATGTGATGATTAATTAATACACTAATTAATTAAATATTCGATAGTCACTCCATATTTTTCAATTAGCATTTTTCTTTTTGGCAAGTTAAAAAGCAGTTGATGCGATTATTTTGCAGCAATTACACGAAGCAATATACAATTTCTTTTTATGAATTACAACCATATTTTATTTGAATTTAGTGTTCTTTTTGCCATACTTTTATGCTAATTAATCTTTCCATACAAAATTTCGAACTTCATACTATAGTTTTTAGAAGCAAAAACCAAAAAATATATATATATATATATGTTTGTTTGAACTATTTCCAACAAATAATTTGATGAATTATTTATCGATTTGGGTTGATATTTATCCTAATAATACATTTCACCTTATGAATAATTTTTTTCTCGTCCAAAAAAATTATGAATAATCTTTTGATTTAATTAGTTTGAACTTTTTGTGAGCTGTATTTTATTACCTCGTCTTTTTTAGAAGCAAAAACAAAAAAAAAAAATAGCAAATTAGAAAATAGAATATCTAATGTTTAACCTGTTTTATTTTTCAAAATTTTTTTATTACTTTGATATATTAATTTTTCTTTGTCACGTGCCTCGCGGATGAATACTCATTGTTTTATTCATTTTTTGAAAATATAATTGTATGATAAATAACATTAAAAAGAATATGTTAACCAATTTTGCATTAACATATAAAATTTGTTTCATGTGCAAATTATATTAAATTAATATAAACTTGCTTTTTAACGAGTGCAATGCACAGATTTTTTATTATATTTTTTATAATTATAATTTTTATATTATCTTAATAAAAGAATATATATTTTAATCTTTTATTTGTAAAACAATAATCTGTCATATTTTGATCCTAAAGTTTTGATTTTAAAAATGCATATATATATATATGTATAATCTGTTTGATTTATTGTATAAAATGAAAAATAAAAAATAAAAGTGTTTGATTCATTAATTATGAATTATCTAAAGTTGTTGAGTAAATATGCAAGGTATAAAAAGGCTTTTATATGATAAAAATGAAAATATATATATATATATAAAGTGGTAGAAAAAAATGTCTGATCTATGAATTATTTTGTAGTTTTCTTTAAAATATTGAAAGCATATAACTATATATAAATATAAACCAATGATGATGATATATGATACGATCAAGTTGAACATCTCTTGAGTTATTTATTTTAAAATAAAAGCAAAAAATATAATATTTTTATTATTAGTACGTCATCAATTAATTCAAAACAATTATTCACATATTAAAGTAAAAAATGAAATAAGTTTTTTTTTCTAAAAATAATAGTACTTATTTTATCAGAACCAAATTGTATATCTCAAGAATTAATTCATAAGAAAATAAATTACTTCTGAAATATATGAAAATGTGAAAGTAAAAAAAATCAGTATTTTGTTATAATAAGTTAAAATCCAAAAAAATCACCAAGAATAATAAAAAAAATAATTTTAAGAAAAATATATCCTAATAAGTTATATTTTAATATAATTTTTTTTAGAAAACAAAAAAATTTTAATAAACATCTATGAACGTACCATCACTTTGTGATAATTGATCAAAACACCTAAACAAAATATGAAAAAAAAAAGAATTAGTAAATGAATGTTAAAAGAAAAATGAATATAAATATTAGTTTTTTATAAAAATAAAACAATAAAACTAATAGCATACCTTTCATAGAAAAGTTGCAAACTGAAAAAATAATAATGGTGTAACATACACTATTTATAGATTTATTGCATGACAATTAGAGTGTATAGATAATTTTTAAATTGATAAATATATTTTGAATTTAAAAAATATAATAAGTAATATTTATCTTTTTAAATTTTAAAAACTCCTAAACAAAATATGAAAGAAAAAGAATTAGTAAATGTATGTTGAAAGAAAAATGAATTGATATAAATATTAGTTTTTTATAAAAATAAAATTATAAAAGTAATAGTATACCTTTCAAAG